AAAATGCTTTGACCAATCAGAAACTCGTCTGACTCAAATAGGGTGTAAATTACACCCCTCAAATGACTATTGTACACCCTTACGTATTTCCGTGTTTTACTCCCAAAAGGTGTAATAGAGGGTGCCATATTTTTCCAATTTCTTTTTACTCCCAAGAACACCGTTTATTTCTCTGTGTGTAGAGACGGAAAAGGGTTATATATATAATAATGTACACATAATGTTTATATATACATGTTTATATACAAGTGCTTTCAAATCCATAAAAGATGAATTGATATTTTCAAACAAAAGTTAATTATTGTGCATCAAGATGTGGACTAGATGCAAAGTGCAATGGTTTAGAATACGATTTTCAAGATCCCCTCGAGTTAAGGAGTTCATTATAATGGAGATGAGGACATCTGTACTTACCATGGACTCAATATTACCAAGGACTCTTTAATCTGTAAGTAGCACCGTTGCTTTAAAGATTCCGACATGTGAAGAAAAAACTCTTAAGATCGACTGCGTGCTCATTTCATCAATGTGTTGTTTTGTTTGCTTTGATGTCTGATTTTACCGCAGTGACTAACGGATACACAGAAAAATTAAAATGAAATGTATCAAGGTATTAATGTGATTAAATCACCATGTCTAATCAAATCGGTATATTAAAGCATATTAAAGCATGCGCTAGAATAAAAGAAAACTCACAATTTTGTGAAAATGTTGTCATTTAAAATGTATGTTCTTTCAAATTTGACCGGCACTCAGTTTTTCATTCTCAAAAAAAATTATTGTGTGTAGCGCCCTCTGCAACAGAACTCAACTATCCCTGATGATTGTAGATGGAGATTCTCACAGTGTCTAGAATCCCGCCCCCCCCCCCCCCACTCCGGAGTCGGAATGACCCCATGCGTGTTACAAAAATGTCCGGTAAAGGGGTACTTTTCGTGCGACAAAGTCCGGCCCGAAAAATTGTAAAAAAGGGTGTATTAACTTTTCACCCAGAGATTTCTTTAAAAAGGGGGTGTTTTTTCTTTTTCTCTCATCTCTTTGAACTCCTAAGAAATTATCCGAATTTAGGGGGTACATTGAGCATTTTTCATGATTTAGGGGGGTCTGCAAGGCAGGAAAAGCCCGCGAAAGGGGGGTTCGGAAATGTTGGCAGTCCTCAGATAGGGGGTGCTTTCAAAAAGAGGGAACGAGCATAATTATGCGTACCCTAAATAACACTGAGTGGTGGGGGGGGGGGGGGGGCGGGTCTGGAATATGCCTGAATTGTTTAAGAATTGTTATAGCCCAAATAAGCGTTGGAAATTTAGTGTTTTACTAATCGATGTTTCTGCATGAGTTAGTGTACGAATGAAACTAAAAGACTGAATAGGCATAAATTATTAAGAATTTGAATAGCCCAACTTTCTGTTTATATTAATCTAAAGATTTGGTCAGTTTAGGTAATGGAACAAACAAGCGTTTTCATCTGGGTCATATTCAGCGCTCAAAATACACGGGGCGGTGGGCGATTCGCCCCCGTGAGCTACATAATCGCCCCTGTCAGGTTGCTTACGGGGCGATTGCAAAATTAAAAATCGCCCCGGTGGAATTATAAAATAAAGATTATCTTTTCTGTTATAACTTTAAAACAATATTGAGTTCCAATTTTCAAACCTTAAACCAATGAAATGGAACTAAGATTAGCGTGCAAGATTTCTCGTTTTATAGGCATATTATTACCGATTCAGCTCGCAGTGCAGTCCCGTCGTCAGCAGTGGTTATAGACCTACTGCGCCGTTAATAGCGGTACGTGTGCGCGCTGCCGCGCTAGTCTGCAGGCACAGACCCTAATCTGACACTTAATAAAATAAAAAAAATTACGCCTTGAGAGAAGTCTAGCCCAGCTACCTGCTGGTTGTCAGGAGTAGCTACAGTACATGGCCTATGTAGTCTAGTTTATAGTGCAGACTCACTTTTACGACTGACCAGGGTTTGTGCTTGCAGACTACTGCCGCGCCATGTCTGCTGGAGCTGGAAGCGATCGCGCAAGGGCAGAAACATGGTCAGTTTTTCGTTGTCAGCAAATAATGAACCTCGACCAGTAAATCAATATTAGGGACTTTTAGATTTGCACGTTGAGAACGTGGACTGCAACGTGTGACCTCCTTTTAAGGCACTGCCAGTGCTAAAAGGACGTCACATGTGACTGCCAGTGCCTTAAAAGGAAGTAACACGTCCACGCAAATCTAAAAGTCCCTATTGAGAAGAAGAGGAAGATGAAGAGAACAAGATGTCGTGAAAACCACCGACTAAATGTTTGATGAAACGCCCCCTGGTCATATTAATTTATACAGTTGATCCGGAAATTTGTGAACATAGAGCAGTTACGTATGCCCAGACTATGCCGCAGGCCTTTACGTGCTTAGGTGCATGGTCATAACTGTTTATCCTACAACGTTCACACAACATAAAAAGCATTCCTCCCATAGCAACCACAGCAAGCATCACATCTAAAAACTGTTCCTCTGACAAAAGAACACAATTTACAGTATTTGGGATTAGTCTGCCGATCTACTATAGCTTTATTTAACGTTATTTTCAAAATACTTGTATCATGAAATCGAAAATGTATTTCGAAAAATGTATAAATAAGAATGTTTAAATGAACATCTGACATTTAAACTTTGTTGAAAATAATCAAATCAATCCTGCCCTGACCCTAACTTAGCTAGTGAATTAAAAAAAAAAGAGTTACAACTATGGAAGTGTAAACCTATGGAAAACCTTAATAGCTATCTAACCTATTACTACCAGAAGATTATACATATTAGTTTGAAAACTTTAGGTTGCTCCCTTGTTGGAGTATTACTATTCACAGGTAAAATTCATGTTTTTAAAGAACACAAATAATAAGTACCCCTTCACCTCATCTAATTACAGCTTTCCTTATCTGAGAGGTGCCCCTATCCCTTTGACATGTTGTTGTTGTTGATGGTAATACTTTTATGGCGTTCATTCAGTACTGAATATATACGCAATGTCTTCAGTTTTATAAGAAAAATCAGTGATCCGTAAAGAAAACTGAAAGCACGAAATTGTAATAATATTCCTTTGACATAAGCGCCCCTTCCAATTTTAATAAGTGCTCCTTTTCAGGTACGAGAATTGCTCCTTACCACCTCTGATAAATGCCCTATTTTGCTTGCTATAGGTTGTCTGGATGTGTGTGTGTGTGTGCGTGTGTGTGTTTGTGTGTTAGTGTGTTAGATGACGGGCGTGGTGTGAGTGTGTGTATTGAATGTAAGGAGATTTTAAGCAAGATAAAAAGACTTTTCGGATGGTGGAAACAGAGGGACCTTACGGTGTTTGGAAAAATTCATTTATTAAAATCATATGCATTATGTAAATTAAATTACGTTTTTGCTTCACTAGTGGTCCAAAGAGGGTCATATCGGAAATACAGAAAATATGTTTTGAATTTATATGGAATGGAAAGATAGAATTAAGAGATTAATATTGTATCAAGGTTATGATGAAGGAGGGTTACGAATGACTAATTTTGACACGTTTGTAAAAACCCAACGGGTAATGTGGGTGAAAGACTACTGTACGGAGAAAAATCTATGAGATGGAAGCTATACTTTGATTTCTGCTTCAAGGTGGTAGGGGGTAGATTTATTTTTTTGTGTAACTATGATTCCAAGTTATTCAGTTTCAAAGTACCTAAGTTTTATTTAGAAATGATCAAAGCATGGGAAGAGTTAGAAGGTTCTAGGAATTTTTGAAGAAAAGAATAATCCAATTATTTTTAACAATCAAGATTTCTTATTGAAAAAGAAAATGATTTTTAATGAAGAGTTGTTTACACGCAATATAATTTTTATTCAAGATATTTTTGCTGAAAATGGCATGCAGGCAATATCTCATTTTCAAAATTTGGGGTTAAAAGGAAACAAAATTGTTGATGTATGGAATATTGGGGAAGCTTTTTGAGAAGCGGAAAAAAGGATAACTGGAGTTTAGTGAATGTAAAAGAGTATGATATTTTAATGCAGTTTAACAATACTGTGAAGCTCCTCAGGGATGTATTATCGAGGAAGGTTTATGAATATTTTATAGAGAAGTTACAAAATTTATTTGTCTTGAAGATTCATGATGGACGGGAATTTTCAGATTTTCAAATAAGGTATGTAGGGAGATATTTAGTAGGCCTAGGAAAGTTTGGTTTGTGTTTTGTGTTTGGTTGGATGGGGTTATTTGTTTTATGATACAACTGATTTCATTTTGTTTTCATCAATTGTACAATGTATGTAATGTAAATGTTTGAATTATGTCAAGGAAAAAAAATGTACTTTATTTCTAAAAATTAATTTGTATTTGGAATCATAATAAAAAAAGAACAGAAACTATAAAAAAAAAAAAAAAAAAAAAAAAAAAAAGTGTGTATGTGTGCTGGAGGGGATGTGTAGAAAATTTTCAGTAAACTTAATAATAATAATAATAATAATAATGTAACTTATATCGCGCCAAATCCACTCTCGCTGAATTTGTGAAAGGTAGAGCTTGTATTTATGGACATGTTCAGAGGTTAGTGCCAGGTTTTCTTGCAAATCGTATAAAGATAGGCATCCATGATGTAACCATGGTGACATCAGGATCTCCTCCTCCTAGGATTGTCATGATGCTGCAGAATAAAAAGAAAAAAAATGTCATGAAAAACGCCAAAATCACAGCCAATGTTAAAGATAAACACATGAACCATGTGTCCCCCTTTTAAATATGTCCGAAATCGGCACACTCAAAACAAGTATTCTGCCCATTTAAAATAACAAATATTGCAAGAATGTTTGATGTAACAATTTCAATCAAAAAATTATTAAAACCACCCCAACAAATATGTTCTTTCTCAAAAGGACTTTCATGATTCATGTGTATCATTTAGGCCTACTAGCAATAAAAAATTTTCGTTTGAGTAATAGTTATAGTAAAATAAACGTTTCATGAAAACCACTTGGACAACCAACTCAAGTATCCTCCGGATAACTATCACCACAGGATCACTTTCCCGCAGAGCGATTATCCTGTTTTCCATACGCATGGCATAGTGTGCAGGCAAGAACCCTTGTCAATCGTTTGCACTATGAGACAACCAAAGACTCTGTATTTTAGCAGCTTCTGAAACAGTCAGAAACTGACGTATCTAGCTCTGCTTAAGGCTGTAGGTATTGTGGTGGCAGACTAAGCATGACAAGTGGTCAGTTGTCAGGACTCAGGATGGTATTGTCCTCGGGGTCGTTGTCTATTCAGCAAACACAGACTATAAATTGACACCTTACCACATTTCATAAAGCCTTTAGAAGAGCCTATATATGTTAGTCTCTGCTATGTCAGGTGCGTAGAAAGTGCAGAGCATAATTGTAGTCTCATAGGTCAGACACTGTTATGCAGAACGACCGACAAGCGTCTGCCCCAGCAAACTACATGTAGTTGTTGCTCGGGAGGAGTAGTCAGTGCAAGCAGTAAATATTTTAGAAAGTGTTTAATCTGTCTCTGACATGATACTCGTCATGATTTCTCCTTTGTCTACACATACCTCTTTTGGAAGTCCATAAAGTAGGATGTACCAGGGTTGTCCTTCATGAAATGATAGCGGCAGCGTATGTTTTATAACACTCGATGAACTCGGTCACAGAAACATTATATCGTATGTCAATATCCACCCTGCGCAGTAAGATAATGAGAGGGAGAGAGAGAGAGAGAGAGAGAGAAGGGGGGGGGGGGGGCAAAGAGAGAGAGAGGGGGATACAGAGATAGAGAGAGACAGAGAGAGAGAGGGAGACAAAGAGAGAGACAGAGAGACACAGAGAGAGACATAATAATAATGATAATAATAAGATATTTCTATACCGCAAATTTCATAATGCCTCTTAAAGGCTAAGCGGTTTGGAAGGAAAATAGTTGATAAGTAAAAGAAACAGAATTAGCATTACAAATGACATCAATTCAATTAGCATTACAAATGACATCAATTCAATTAGCATTACAAATTTGCAAATAAACATAATACATGTTCACAATTACAAATCACTAACTACCAAAATACCAATAGTTCAAAAATTATTAGTATCTAACGTTAATCTACAAAATATAAAAGGCAAAAGTTTAGGGGGCTATTCGTGTTTTTAGCATTGTTTTTAGCATTTATTTAAAAAACTAGCGTTGCAATTTGAAGAGGGAGATCGTTCCAAGGAAATGTAGCTGCATAAACGAAAAAAACATTGACCGCATTGTTTGTTATGAAATAGTGTGAGACCGAGAGAGGAGAGATTGAGAGGAGAGATTGAGAGGAGAGATTGAGAGGCAGATCGCAAAGTCCGGACAGGAGTGTATCGAGAAAGGAGTTGTAAGTTGTAAGTGATGCGAGAAGTGATAGGAAACCAGTGAAGTTTTTGAAGAATAGGGGTAATGTGAGAAGCCCAAGAAACACAAGAAACAAGAGTTTCATAATCACTAATTTAGGTTTACATCAACGCTGGGTTGTGTTATTCCTCCCATATGATTGTGTTCTTTACCTTTTTTGGTCAGCAAACGGCAGTTGTAGAGTGGTGTATTTCTCCTTCATATGCTGATAGCCAACTGGTGTGCTAGCCTTCAGATCTCGGTTGTTCGTCTGCATACAGAGATGCATGGATCCAATCATGAAATCATAATCATGTAAAACATAGCTGATTAGAAAGCAGCCATGATAATTTTCGGGGGAAAGGGGTTACCGATTGTAATAAAGTTTTTAAGGATTAAATAGCTTTTCACAACTTACATAAAGTGTTCTAAAATAAGATATTCTCCATGCATTTTATCGTACTTTGTTCTAAAAATTATCCTTTTACTTAAAATCGAAAAGATTAAATTTCTTGAAATGTAAACACTGCTCGCAAACAGCGCTCAAAATACACGGGGGCAGTGGGCGATTCGCCCCCGTGAGCTACAAAATCGCCCCCGTCAGGTTGCTCACAGGGGCGATTGCAAAATTAAAAATCGCCCGGTGGAATTATAAAAAAAGATAATCTTTTCTGTTATAACTTTAACACAATATTGAGTTTCAATTTTCAAACCTTAAACCAATGAAATGGAACTAAGATTAGGGTGAAGATTTCTCGTTTTATGAGTAGGCCTATTATTACCGATTCAGCTCGCAGTGCAGTTCCGCCGTCAGCAGTGGTTATAGGCCTACTGCGCCGTTAGTAGCGGTGCGTGTGCACGCTGCCGCGTCATGTCTGCTGGAGCTGGAGGCGATCGGGCAAGGGCAGAAACATGGTCATGGCCTGGAGAAGTTTTTCGTTGTCAGCAAATAATGAACCTCGACCAGTAAATCAATATTAGGGACTTTTAGATTTGCACGATGAGAACGTGGACTGCAACGTGTGACCTCCTTTTAAGGCACTGCCAGTGCTTAAAAGGACGTCACATGTGATTGCCAGTGCCTTAAAAGGACGTAACACGTCCACGTCCACGCAAATCTAAAAGTCCCTTTTGAGGAGAAGAGGAAGACCAAAATGTCGTGGAATCAGGGGCGGCGATTTCTTAATGACCGGGGGGGGGGGACGAAATGCGATTTTTTTTTTTTTACGCGGATGTTATGCGAGGGAGCGTAGCGACCGAGCGAGATTTTTTTTGCAATTTTATTAGTCTAAACGCTGCACTCTTGGGCCTTCCAGAGCCTAAAAGTGTGTTGCAGTCATTATTCAGTATATGCTATATAATGTGGGGTTGTTTAGCTGTATGGTTAGTACTCAAATGAAGACACATAGAGAAACATCAGAGTTAGGTTGCATTCCAGCATGCCTGGTTATATTGTGTATAGAAGAGCCCATACACCACAGTGTACATTAACTGTGTGTATGTGTGTATAGCACGTAGCATTGAGTCAATGTATAAGATCACATATTACATGCTATACAATTTATTTTGCACTTTTTCAAATTTCCAGGGGGGACGATCCCCCCCTAAAAAAAATGAGGGGGGGGGGGGACGTGTCCCCCCGTCCCCCCCCCCGGGATCGCCGCCCCTGCGTGGAATGATATGGTAACATGGGCAGATCTACGGCAGGGGGGGGGGGGGTTGGGCTGCCAAGTGAAAATGTGATATTAAAGCGGGGGGAGGGGGATTCTAGAGAGGATGACTACTAATCTATTTTTTTTTTCAGGGGGCGGGGGGAAGTGAAGCGCCGTTTTAGCATGACTTTCTTTTAACTCTTACTTTCACCTATCTCAGATAACCCTAAGTTTTTGGTTGCTGCCTTATATGTAGTTGATAATGCATGATTAAAATAAAGAGAGAGAGAGAGAGAGAGAGAGAGAGAGAGAACCACCATCATTTGCAATGGTTCAGGGTTCGTGTAATGTACATTTGAAACCATTTCTTAGCGTCTCAACCCTAAAAAAATAGCAAAACTGTTTTTGAGGAAAAGCATTATACTGAATTAAAAAAGAATAATAGCTTCACATTGGATCATACTAATACTGATACGGGCTAAAGACAATGTGGTATTTGTATAGAGGTATTCCAAAATGACATTCTGATAATCAACATATTTTGTTCTGGTATCATATGTATATACGCATAATACAACTGATCTTTATGATTTCTTAACGTGACATAGCGTCTTCTCCCTCTGCAAACAAAACAGAAAACAAGGTTATTTAATAAAAGGACCATGCGACAAATAATCATTGTGATTCAAATTGATGCAAGGATTTTTTTTGAATTAGTAATGCTTTCACCAGAATCTTCTTTGTAAAAACGACTTTTACAAATCTCAGCCATGCAATTCTGCCATTGTGCTGTAAGATCACTTTGAGATTAGGAGAAGTGTATTATGTAATGGGCATTTTAAATTGAACGGAACGTCTCAACTCAGTAAGCATGGCTGAGATTTGTAAAAGTTGTTTTTACAAAGAAGATTCGGGTGAATAGCATGCTTATTCAAACAAATATTCCCATCAATTTGAATCACAATCATTATTTGTCGCTTAATCCCTTTTAATGACCATGTTTTCTTTTTCATTTGCAAGGGGAGAAGAAGATATGTCACGTTAAAGACATCATACAAATCAGTGTTGTATGCGTATATATTATATACACAGGCCAGTAACAGCTATTTTGCTTGTAAATTTGTAAGAGGGAAAATGCTGATTGAAATGATAATGATGAAATAGCAAATAATTGAGGAGTATCATAGGTACCAATTCAATGGATATTTGTATAAAAAATAGCCCCCGTCAGTACTAAAAGAGCCCCGTGAGAAGGCTCACGGGGGCTCTTTTTTCGGGGGAAGAGCCCCGTGGACAAACAATTAATTTGAGCCCTGCTCGGAAAGGAAGTAAAAATGTCAGCTTGTGGAGCAATCGTCATAGACTCACATAGTCAAGATATGAGTCGATGCAATCATTCAGTTTCTTCATGATGACGTCATCAGGATGATCGATGTAAATGATGTCGAAAGCTAAGACAGCCAGGCATCCGTTAGGTTTGAGGACGCGATTGACTTCCTTCCTGAACTCAGTCCAGTCGAAGTAATGACTAGCGGTGGCTGATGTAATGAGGTCCACCGAGGAATCTGGCGTTGGTAAATCCTCAGCTCTACCAACACTTTAAAAGACAAATAAAAAAGGAAAATTTATCTTTGTCATATTTTCAATGTATGTCATAATGCTCGTCTTCCTTGGACAGAGTTATCAGCTGTTATAATATTATTTAGGAATAACTTTGCGGTCTGTTCCAATGAATCATGGACTTGGATAGATTTGTTGGGCGCAACCTCCGGATTATTAACAATATCTTCAGACAAGCATAATGACACGATGAACCCTCCTTATCAACAAGTCGACAAAGATAGTGTTGATAACATTACTTTGAATTCAAGATGTTCACAACGCTAGAGCTATCGAATAGAAGGTGCTGAATGTTGTACCGACTACAGGCTCTCCGCAAAACCCTACCAAAAGTATTGTCCGGCACAACGATCAATTTGAACAAACTTTCATATCTAAAAATCCAAGGGCCTAAAAGGATCAATTCTCCCACCAATGGTCCTATTCTTCCACCAAAGAACTAATCCCTCCACCGAAGGACCGATTCTAAAACCAAAGGACTAATCCTTTTACCAAAAGACCGACCCCTCCTTCAAAGGACAACTCCTAAAATCAAAGGACCAGTTCCTCTACCAAAGGACCAATCCCTCCACCAAAGGACCAATCCCTCCACCAAAGGACCAATCCCTCCACCAAAGGACCAATCCCTCCACCAAAGGACCATTCCTCCACCAAAGGACCAATCCCTCTACCAAAGGACCGATCCCTCTACCAAAGGACCAATCCCTCTACCAAAGGACCAATCCCTCTACCAAAAGGACCAATCCCTCTACCAAAAGGACCAATCCCTCTACCAAAAGGACCAATCACTCCACCAAAGGACCAATCCCTCTACCAAAGGACCAATCCCTCTACCAAAGGACCAATCCCTCTACCAAAAGGACCAATCCCTCTACCAAAGGACCAATCCCTCCACCAAAGGACCAATCCCTCCACCAAAGGACCAATCCCTCTACCAAAAGGACCAATCACTCCACTAAAGGACCAATCCCTCTACCAAAGGACCAATTCCTCTACCAAAGGACCAATCCCTCTACCAAAAGGACCAATCACTCTACCAAAAGGACCAATCCCTCCACCAAAGGACCAATCCCTCCACCAAAGGACCAATCCCTCTACCAAAAGGACCATTCACTCCACTAAAGGACCAATCCCTCTACCAAAGGACCAATTCCTCCACCAAAGGACAATCCCTCTACCAAAGGACCAATCCCTCTACCAAAGGACCAATCCCTCTACGAAAGGACCAATCCTTCCACCAAAGGACCAATCCCTCCACCAAAGGACCAATCCCTCCTCCTATAGTTCCAAATAATTTCTAGATGGAAATGACGTTTCTTTGACAACTAGAGTGGAACCAGACTAAAGAAAGTTCTTGGACCGTAAAGTGAGAGAACGACAAAACTGATACTCTGACATTCCTGAGAGATTTGTAAACTCATGGAGCAGCTACTGTTTCTTAAGGAACAAAAAGGGCATATTAAAAAAAAAATTTAATCATTAAATCTTCATCCATTATTACATGATTATTTGGACGAATCAGGCAATCTAATGCACACCCTTACCAACGGGGAGGTATTTATTCTACATGTATAGCCTTTCTCGTTAACGCTGCCTACATTTTTGTTCATTTCATTCATTCTTCAGTTTAAAAAAACATGCAAACATTGAAATATATACAAAGTATTTCAAGGAAAATACATCGTGCATTAAATGAATTCATATAAGAAAAAAAAAAATAACGGGACCATCGGGATTGAGAGGTTAATGGTCCAGATAATTGTCAAGTTATAACATTAATAGGGACTTTTAGATTGAGTGGACGAGAACGGCGCGGACGTCCACTGATCATGCGTGTCTATGGCAAGCGTTTTTAATATTTATTCCCGTCTTGATATCACGAATTCAATTTTTGATATCAAGAAATGATTTTCTGTTGTAAAGCAATTGTAATTATTTATATCAAGAAATGATGTTCTGTTGTAAAGCAATGGTAATTCTTGATATCAAGAAATCGGAATAAATGTTTAAAACGGCTTGCCATAGACACACATGATCAGTGGATGTTCGCGCCGTTCTCGTTCACATAAGTCCCTAATATTTCGGCTGGAGATGAATGAAAATAGGTATAAAAAAGGTGTTGGAGGTATTGAATAAGAAACTTAAATTGAAAACAAAAGAAAATGATAAATGATTATAACCTATTGATAAAATGGTAACAAGTATAATTTATCTTACCTGAAAGATATATTCTTTTGATTTTGAGCCGTCTTTGCTACATCTATCTGCGCAGAACTCACATCAACTCCTAAAACCTCATCAAAGTAAGGAGCCAATGACCGTGTAAGTGCCACAACCGACATCAAGGGCCATCTGAAATGGTTTCGCTTTCTGTAGAAATAAGATGATTAGTGGGGGCTGTTAGGGATATTTTGGTGCAGATTTTGGCGCTCTCTGGGACTGCAATATTGGGCAAATCCAACGTAGCCGCCATCTGAGTTAAAGGTCAAGCGTAGTTCCAAAATGAAAAGCGCTTGTATGATAATAGTTTATATATTTATAGGGTTTTGGGGGGTCAGAGAATCTGATTATAATGTTCTTTCATTGATTTCAGATGTCCTTTGGGGCTGACATACTGGTCATATTGGTCAAATCCAAAATGGCCGCCATCTGAGTTACAGGTCAAGTGTAGTTTCGAAAGGAAATGGGCTAGTATGATAAAAGTTTATCCATTTACGGGGGTTTTCGGGGCCAGAGAATCTGATTATGATGTTCTTTCATCGATTTGAGATCTCCTCGGGTCATACTGGTAGTATTGTTCACATTCAAAATAGCCGCCATCTGAGTTACAGGTCAAGTGTAGTACGAAAGGAAACGGGCTAGTATGATACAAATTGGATTTATGGAGTTTTCGGGGTCATAGAATCTGAATATCATGTTCTTTTACCAATTTGAGGTCTCCTTGGGCTGTCATGCTGGTCATATTGGTCAAATCAAAAATCCAAAATTGCTGCCACCTTTGAGTAAAAGGTCAAGTGTAGTTCCAAAAGGAAAAGGGCTAGTATGATAACAGTTTATATAGTAAGGGGGTTTTCGGGGTCAGAGAATCTGATTATGACGTTGCTTGTATCAATTACAGGTCTCCTCGGGGCTGTCATGCTGGTCATATTGGCTAAATAAAAAGATGCCGCCATCCGAGGTAAAGGTCAAGCGTAGTTTCAAAAGGAAAAGGACTAGTATGATAAAGTTGATGAATTCATGGGGTTTCGGGGTCGGATAATCTGATTATGATGTTCTTTTATCAATAAGCGAGTTCGTAATTGCACATTGCGCATGCGCCGAAATCGGGAACGCACTTTTCCAAAGGTCACATGAGCATAAAGACAGCTGAGAGAGGAACTGTAATTTATTTGTGTGCTGGCCTTTCATTTATGAATGATCACATCTGACACATCAGTTACCGAAAATCATTTCTGAATGTCGGATTTGGTTCTTTATAGTAAACTTTAACTTGGAATCTGGTCATCGGTAAAGTATTATCGGCATTATCGTGATCTAAGTCCCCAGGGACTCGGATCCACGGACACTTTTTACTCTGAAAAAACATTTCCTAACTTCCAAAATTATTACCAACAAAGCGCGTTTAATGGATTATTACGTTATTTAGTCAAGCCAGTTTATCTAGTACTAGTAGGCATATTAAAGTCCTTCACTATTTAAAATAAAGCAAACTATAATTTAAATTTATTTAGTCAAGCATTGATTAGGCTGAATTAAGGAATATTATATTTATTAATTTCACATTGCCTAACGATTATTGAAGACGAAATATAACTTTCATTAAATTTTGTTTTTAAATGATATTACTGATTTATTTAGTCAAACCAATTATCTAGTAGGCCCATTAAGAGAAACACTATAAAATTGTCTATATATTCTTCGTGGTGCGAGTTCCCCTTGCGTGTTAAGATCATCAAATTTCCCATAGGAGGGGACTTACACAGTGGCGGATCCACCCGGCGGCAAGAGGGGGGGGGGGGGGGGAAGGCTAATTCGTGAGAAAATATTTAGCGCCGACTCAGCCAGCCGGTGAATAAAGCAATTTTTAAAAATTAATTTATTATTTATTATTATTGTTATTATTATTGCCTGTGGGGGAGGGGGAGCGGGCCCCCGTCCCCCCCCCCCCCCCCGTGGATCCGCGCCTACTCTTGTACACGTCATGTGATTCCTGACTGAACTTAATGTTTATAATTATGATTGTAGCATGAGCTAAGTCCAGCATTTTGTGTGCCAATATATGTTAAAAAGAGAGTGCCATCGCTGAAATTTATTCACGGTTGCAGTCTGAGCATGAGCAGATAAAGGTCATTGCAGAACAAATTTTGAAACCCACGCAGACGAAATACTGGATACGTGCTCATGAAAGTTATGTAACATTATTCATTCATGCCCATTCAGTGCAATCCATGGTACACAGGTGGAGGTATTCTTTGAAAAGGGGGAACAAAGGCTATTTATATAGCACATCCATCACTGTAGGAGTGATTTTTTTCAAAATGTACAATTTGGGACCTCTTCATGTTTTGAAGATCTGTGGATACTCGGGGTCATTGCAGTAAGGTGCTAACCGTGAACTGGTCTATTGATCACGTAGACATTTTAAGTTTCTCTTCGAATTCTGCGATTTTGTAAGAGCTATGGTACTTTTGTTTTTAGCGCTCCTAAATAAGCTATGATATCAGTAGTCGTAATAATAGCGTTTCAAAGTTTAAAAATTCAAGCAAAATTGTCTAGGTTAGTGCAAAAATCAAAATACTTCTTTATTATTCATCGATTATTTTTAATGATTCTTAATGATTAATTTAATGTAATAGATCATTGAGTTTTAAATGGGGTCAAATTTGACTTGTTACATAACAATGTAAGAGAGAAGGAGAGGTTTTCTCTAAAATGAAATGAAAGGAATCTTGAAAGTAAAATAGCCCTTTCATTTCATTTTTTGAAATAAACTCTAATCCATCCCTTGATATTTAATTGATCATCAACAGAAACAAAATGCTAGGCCACGCACTTTTCGAAGCGTGACCAAGATTCAAAGTATGCTTAAATGGGGGCATTGAAGTATGTAGAAAAAACAGGATTAAGATCCCATGCAACGCTTCGAAATGTAAAAGAAGAATAAGAAAAATAAAGTTGAGATTCGATCTTTATGTCTAGACGTTGCATTATGCAATGCGTATGGTATTATAAGCCATCTCAGAGTGATTATAGACGTTATTTTTAAGCTGTCCGGGTTTTTGAAGATAATGCTTCAAAACAAATCGAACAAGCTGTTTAATTCTTTTGGATCTTCTGGATCGCCACCCCTGCGTGGAATGATATGATATAACATGAGGCAGATCTACGGCGGGGGGGGGGGGGGGGGGGGGGGGGGGTAGGGGATTTAACCCCCTCCTCCCACCCCCCCCCGGCCCCTTGGGCTGCCAAGTGAAAATGTGATATTAAAGCGGGGGGAGGGGGATTCTGGAGAGGAGGACTACTAATCTATTTTATTTTTTTCAGGGGGCGGGGGGAAGTGAAGCGCCGTTTTAGCATGACTTTCTTTTTAACTCTTACTTTCACCTATCTCAGATAACCCTAAGTTTTTGGTTGCTGCTTTATATGTAGTTGATAATGCATGATTAAAATAAAGAGAGAGAGAGAGAGAACCACCATCATTTTGCAATGGTTCAGGGTTCGTGTAATTTACATTTGAAACCATTTCTTAGCGTCTCAACCCTAAAAAAATAGCAAAACTATTTGTGAGGAAAAGCATTATACTGAATTAAATAGAGAATAATAGCTTCACATTGGATCATACTAATACTAATACGGGCTAAAGACAATGTGGTATTTGTATAGAGGTATTCCAAAATGACATTCTGATAATCAACATTTGTTCTGGTATCATATACGCATAATACAACTGATCTTTATGATTTCTTAACGTGACATAGCTTCTTCTCCCTCTGCAAACAAAACAGAAAACAAGGTTATTTAATAAAAGGACCATGCGACAAATAATCATTGTGATTCATATTGATGCAAGGATTTTTTGAATATGCAATGCTTTTCACCAGAATCTTCTTTGAAAAACGACTTTTACAAATCTCAGCCATGCAATTCTGCCATTGTGCTGTAAGATCACTTTGAGATTAGGAGAAGTGTATTATGTAATGGGTATTTTAAATTGAATGGAACGTCTCAACTCAGTAAGCATGGCTGAGATTTGTAAAAGTTGTTTTTACAAAAATGATTCGGGTGAATAATAGT